CAGTGTAAGACAAGATAAAATAATAATTTATAAATTATTAAGGGTTCATGAGGGAGCGGGGAGCAGGGAAGGAGGGGGAGGGAAAAAAGGAAAATGAGGAACTGATTACAGGAACCCAAGCGAAAAGTGAATTTTGAGAATGATGAGGGCAGCGAATGTATAAGTGTGCTTTACACAATTGATGTATGTGTGGATTGTGATAAGGGTTGTATGAGCCCCAATAAAATGATTTTTTAAAAAATCCAACTCTTTAAATTATGTAGACTTTATGTATTTTCATTGTGGTCAGTGGAAGCATTGCATGCGACATCACTAGTTTCAGTTGGGAAAACCTGATGGAGGACCATAAAATATGAGATGTCTCAGACTTAAAAAGAGGAAATGAGGAGGCATCCACCCATCTGATCATAACGTCGTCTAGTCTGTCCTTGTTCAGTACTCAGCCCCTTGAGGATCTGTTCATATCTCCTCTTCCTGTAGTACTGACAGTCTCCCTCTTCCTCCTCCCTCCCTTGGCTTTCCACTCCTGTGAGGAATCACCCCAGTTCTTTAAGGTCAGTCAGATGTTGGTAGAGAGCACTCACCTCTGTTGAACTTCCGTTGCATTAAATTTCCTTTGTTTGACTATTGTTATAATATGCCTTATCTCTTAGAACAGGAGCAGTGTCTTTTATGGATTTTCCACCCCCAGACTAAATGCTTAGAAATGTTTTTTTGTGTGTATTTAAATTTTAAGGAGCCCTGGTGGTTTAGTAAGTTATGAGGTGGACATGCTAACCACCAGGTCAGTAGTTCAAAACAACCAGCTCCTCTGTGGGAGAAAGATGAGACTTTCTACTCCTATAAAGAATGATAGTCTTGGAAATCACAGAGGCAATTCTACCCCGCATGTCTTATAGGATCACTATGAGAATCACCTCAGTGACAGGGATCTTTTTGTATTTAAATATTATATAGTAAAACATTACAAAACATTTGCTACTTTAATCCAAAGTGTGCAATTCAGTGATATTAATTGCATTTGCCATATTGGGCATCGATCTCCACTATTTCCAAAAGTTTCCATCACCGCAAGCAGAAACAGTTTTTTCCCATTGCATTCTTTTCCTTAACCCTGGTAATTGTTAATGAACTTTCATCTCTTTATATGTGCCTCTTGTATGTAATTGCATCTAATATTTACCCTTTTATATCATATTTGTTTCAGTATAATGTTTTTAAGACTGAATAATGTTCAATTTTATACACATAAGGGACTTCAAAAGCTTTGTGGAAAAAATCCATTTTCCATTTTTCCTTGAATTTTCTTAAGCCCATTTATTTACCATATTTTGTTTATTTGATCACTTGTTGATAGACTTAAGTTATTTATACCTTTTGGGTACATTGAAAGCTTAGAGAATTTGTGATTCAGTTATTATGTAAATATAAAGTCATGGGTCTACAAAACAACTCTTTTTAAAAAGTAAATTGTGTTGCTGAATTGATTAACAATCTGTTCTACCCTCTCCACCACCATCATGTTAATGTGTTTAGTTATGTGCGCTAGGCATTCCTGACTGCTGGCTTTTTAATTTTTGTCTTTCAGTCTTACCTCCAGTATTAGTGCCTCGTCATAATGAATTCAATCCACAGCACAGCCTTCTGGTTCAGTTTAGGAACCTGAGCCACAATGAACCGCACATGCCACAAAACGCCACGTTTCCAGACTCGTTCCACCAGCCCAACAACACTCCTTTTCCCTTATCGCCAAACAGCCCTTATCCCCCCTCCCCTGCTAGCAGCACGTATCCCAACTCACCTGCAAGTTCTGGACCAGGAAGTCCATTTCAGCTTCCAGGTAAGAGTTATTTGGTCCCCCGCAAATCATCCCCCAGTGTTAGCAGTTGCTTGCTTACTTCAAGTCCCTTAGGTGAATTCATGTATGTCAAGAGCTAGCTATTCCTAACTCTGTTACTTTCGTTCATTTGTTAGATTTTATTTTGCTAAGTACCATTTGACTAGGGTATATGTTAAAAAAAAAAATTCTTACTGGCCACATTTAACTTAAAGATGTTTTGGGGTGGGGTAAACATAAGATATCAAGTAGCTCAAATAGATAAGCTTATGACTGTTTACTAGCTGAATGGTTGATGATTCGAATCTGCCCAAGGGGAGGGACTCTGGAAGATTGGCCTGGTGCTGCGCTTCCAAAAGCTCAGAGCCCATGGTGCAGTTGTAGGCTGTACACTTGGGGTCGTCACGAATTGTGATTGACCTGGTGGCAGCTAACAACAACAACAACACTGTTGCGTGCCTGAAGGAGCCCTGGTGCTGTTACTGGGTAAACATTGGACTGTTAACTGCAAGGTCTGTGGTTCAACTCTACCAACTGCTCCGGGGGAGAAAGATAGGCTGTCTGCTCCAGGAAAGATTTACACACAAGCCTCAGTGCCATCGAGGCGGTACTGAGGAGCTTTGAGTCAGAGTTGACTCAGTGGCAGTGGGCTTAGTTTTTTGGGTTTTGGCACTGTGTAACTGATTCTGTGATGAAAGCTAGTACAACATTAATATTCAGAACAGTTATGTGAGATAGATTGATATTCATGTTTTACCCATGGAAAAAGAAATTAACATTAACTCTGAGGTTTAAAGTACTTACCCCAGTGGCTCTCAACCTTGCTAATGCCGCAACCCTTTAATTCAGTTCCTCATGTTGTGGTGACCTCCCCCCCTCCCCCAACCATACAGTTATTTTCGTTGCTACTTCATATGAAATGGGCTACCCCTGGGAAAGTGTTGTTCGACCCCCAAAGGGGTCGAAACCCACAGGTTGAATATGGTTCTCAACCTGTGGGTCGTGACTTTTCACAGAGGCTGCCTAATACATCCTAATATCAGATATTTACATTATGATTCATAACAGTAGCAAAATTACAGTTATGAACTAGCAACGGAAATAATTTTATGGTAGGGGGGTCATCACAACATGAGGAAATGTATTAAAGGATTGTGGCATTAGGAAGGTTGAGAACCACTGGCCTAAAGTCTCACAGATAAGGGGATCAGACCCACTTTGTGTGACTCTCCTAAAGTCTGTACTCTTTCCATTTTATTACACTGCTATTCAAGTTTATTACATTCCTTTTCAAATCACTTTAAACTTTGGAAGTTTAAAGTGAACTTCATTAATCTTTAATTTTAAAACTAATGAACTGATTTTTCTGGAAGATTAGTTCAATAACAAGTAGATTGTATATAGTTTCAGAATTTTGTTAATGGCCTGTCATCTATGTACACATTATTGTGTACTCTGTTGATAAATATTTGAATGCCTAATATCTGTCGAACGCAGTCATGTATATTCTTTGTGATTTCTCTACTGCAACAAAATAGCAATTGGTGTTTTTTAGGTGGAATTAAATAGCAACTATTTCCCTTATTAATAAGAATTTGTCCAAAAACAGATTCAGTGTAGATTATGACCTTTGTACACATGTGTACAAACCTGATTATATTCAGTGTTTTGTAGTTTTTGAGAGAAAGAAGTATAGTTGGAGCTTTGGCAAAGATTTTCAACAAATGTTTGAATTCCAAGAATTATCTGGTTAGCATTTAGTTTTTTAAGAGAATTGATAATAAATATACAGCAGCCAATTTTGGAGGTTGTGAAAGAATTAGACAAATGCTGCCAGCATTGGTAGCAAGGGTAAAGGGCCATGGTTTTATTTTAGTTTCAAATGACATGGATACACAGTGTGTGGTGATCTGTTATTTAAAAGGGTCCCTGTAGATAATATACCCTAACAAGGATCATCTGTGCCCTTCCAGTTGATTTGCACTAGCAGCAGTTTATCTTAAGCATAAGATTCTAAATAAATAAAGGCAGGATTTGAAACCTTGAAATCTGTTTTAGCACTGATTCTAGTGCACTGGATGACCAGGGTGCTAGATAAATAAATGCTGGCTTATAGTAGATTTTCAGTAGATTCTAGATATGTTGTCTGTCTTTCTTCCCTTGTCCTGGCATACCATCTTACAGTGTTTGAGAAAATGTGTGTGTGATGTTCAAGAATAAGCCCTGCTGATCATCTTCGGAATCTTTTTGTGTCTTTAGAGTCATCGCCTGAGTTGAATGGACAGTTTAACTATTTCTTGGGGACTCTGACTTGTCTCCTTTTCTTTCTCTTAGCTGATACACCTCCTCCAGCCTATATGCCACCTGATGATCAGTTGGGTCCAGATAATTCCCAGCCCATGGATACAAGCAATAATATGATTCCTCAGATAATGCCCAGTATATCCAGCAGGGGTAAGAGAGTGCTCATCATATTTCATTTTCTTAAACTTTTTTGGGTGCCACATTTAAAATATAGGTGCACTGGTGGTGTATTGGTTATGCGTTGGGCTGCGATCCACATGGTTGGTAGCTTGAAACCAGCAGCCACTCTGTGGGACAAAAACTGGGCTTGCTACTCCGGAAAGAGTTACAGTATCGGAAAACTACGGTTTGAATTAGCATTGACTCACTGGCAATAAGTTTGGTGTTTGGTTGGTTGGTTTAAAATAGAGTTTTATTGAAATATTTATATACCATATAACACCACTTAGAATGCATTTCAGTGATTTTTAGTGAATCTATAGTTTTCACCATCACCACAATGCCTATGGACTTGTTTTTCATGAACACTTCATCATAAATAGAATCATATATTGTGTAGTCGTTAGCAGATGACGTCTTTCACCTAGCATATGATTTCAGAGTTCGTGCATGTTGTAGCATGTATGAATAGTTTGTTCCTTTTTGTTGCTGAGCAGGGTAAGGGCCTCTGTGAGTCAGCATTGACTCGATGGCAGTGAGTTTGAGTATCTCATTGTAGAGATTTACTGCGTTTTATGGATCCATTCACCACGTGATGGGAATATTAATTTTCATTGCTATTCTGCAGAATGTTAGGAATACTGTGTGTAAGTGTGGAGGACGACACTATTATTTTTCTTAGGTAAATGCCTAGGAGTGAATTACAGTCATATTTGTGAGTTTATGTTTATGAAAAATGGCCAGTTGTGTTCCCCATTGACTGCACCATTTTATATAAGATTTCCATTTTATTTAAGATTTCTAGTTTCTCCACATCTTCTGAATAGTTTCTGTTGTCTGTCTTTTTGATTCTAGTAAGTGTAAAGTGCTATCCCCTTGTGCTTTTAATTTACCACAGTGAATAATGAATAATGATGATGGGCTTCTTTTTATATATGCTTATTAGGTGTTAATGTCTCTTTGGTAAGTGTCTATTGAAAATTTTGCCCTTTTTATTTTTATTGTTGAATGTATACAGCAGAACACAAACCAATTCAAGAAGTTTACATGTATGATTCGGTGACCTTTGCCTCTTTTCTAACTAGGTTGTTTGTTGGCTTCTTAGTAGTCAGAGTTTTTGTTTATGTATTTTGGATAAACTTGTTGACATCAAGTCGTTGCAATCACAATGACTCCATAGATGACAGGTAGAAGTGTTCGTAGGGTTTTCTTGGCGGTAATCTCTGTGGAAGAATATTGCCAGGCAATTCCACCACGGTGTCGCTGGGTGGTTTTGTTGTTATTGTGGCTACCAAGTTAAGTGACTCATTGTAATAAACTGGGTCAGAGTAGAACTGCCCAAAGGTTGTCTAGCCTGTGTGGAATCCTGTCACTACATCTGTGGAGCTGTTGGTGCAGTGCAAACCAGGGCTTGAAACCAGTTCCGAATCGGCCGTGCTGGCCGACAGAAAGGCAGCATGCCAGAACCAAAATCTCATGCACGCCAGATTTTGACCTGAAGAAAGGGGCAGCGTTGCGCCTCTCAGACATGGTAGTCTACCACCCTGCTGTGAAAGTGTGTTTCCTATTGAGGTCAACTCAACACAGAAGACATTGGGTTGCTGTGCAACATTTACACTGCTTTTGATTTCGTCAGCCGACATTGAACCCCTTTGAAGCGGTTTGAAGCCCTTTTTCGAACCGTTGACTCCTTGGTTAGCAGCTGGCTGCTTCATCCTATTGGGTTGACCAGGGCTCCTCCTCAGTTTGGTGAAGGCAGACACAACTGCTTGGGCTACCCAGGAGTCTTTATGTTTTGGATACAAATCCTTTATCAGACACAGGATTTGTAAATATTTTCTTACTCTTTGGCTTATCTCATTTTCTATATTGTGACCTTTGGAACACAAATGTCTTAATGTTGATGAAGTCATTTTAATCCTTTTTTTTCCTGGATCAGGCTTTTGGTGTTACATGTAAAGAATCTGCATATCTCAAGGTCATGAATATTTTTTTCCTGTGTAATAATCTGTGAGGTTTATACTTTAGGCTCTTCCATTTTGAGTTAATGTTTATATATGGTATGTGTTAGGGGTTTAAAAATCTATATTTTTGCATATATTTATTTGATTCCAACAACATTTGTTTAAAAAGGATACCTTTTTATTGAATTGTCTTGGCATCTCTATCAGGATGTAGTTGACCATAAATGTAAGGGTTTATTTTAGGACTAAGTTTGTTCTGTTAATCTATATAGACATATTCTTAGCACTGTCATCTCATATTTTTTTTTATCATTTCATCATCTTGATTACTAAAAAGCTTTTAGGAAGTTTTCAAAATGGAAAGTGTTGGCTCACCAACTTTGGTTCTTTTTCTTTTTATGCTAACATAATTTCAGTATCATTTTGTTAGTTTCTACCAAAAAAAAAACAAGCCAAAAACTGTACTTGGAATTTGATAGAGATCACATTGCTTTTCTACTTCATCTTGAGATTTGCTGCCTTCATAATACTAAATCTTCCAATGCATGGAACTGTATTCTCTGTTTTCTATTTATAAATCTTAGACATCTCTTCTTAAATTTATCCCTAAATTAATGATTTGTGTGCTTGTATGTGGTAAAAACATATACACCAAAATAATCACAAATATAACCACCTCCACATTTACAGTTCAATTAATTAATGACATTTTTTATATAGTGCCCCCATTGCTGTTTTCATCTTTCGCCTAAGTTATTCTGTCAGCATAAAATTCATATCCCCCAAAGAGGACCACTCTTTCCTCCTCCTTCCCACCCCTGGGACACATGGATAATCTTTGGTTTCTATGTATTTACATATTTCATGTAAGTGAGATCATACAGTATTCCTTACACTGAGTGACTTCTTTCACTCAGTGAAAGAAGGTTTCACTGTTTTCAAGATTTATCTGTGTTGATGCATGCACTCAAACTTAATTTTTCTTAATGTTTGAGAAATACTTAACACGTGTATATACCACATTTTGTTTGTACAGTCAGCTGTGGATGCACGCACATTTCAGTTGTTTTCATTTTGGACTGTAGGAAAAGAGTGGCAGTGAGTATTGGTGTGCAGTTGTCAGCTCTCAGTTTGGGTATTTTCCTAGGATTGGGAGGGGTGGGTTGTTGGTAATTCCATGATCAACTTAAAATTTTTTTAATCTTAAATAACAGTTTTATTGGGTTTTGTCAGGTATTATTTAATATTTCTTCATTAATGTTTTAAAACTCATAACAATCTAGTTTTGTGTGTTACTTTTTGTTCATGTTTAAGTATTAGCTGTATGAAATAATAAACTATTTTTTGTACCCCCCCCCTTTAAATACTTTTATTGGGGGCTCTTACATCGCTTATCACAATCCATACATTCCTCCAGTGTGTCAAGCACATTTGCACATATGCTGTCATCATCGTTTTCAAAGCATTCTCTTTCCACTTGAACCCCTGATAATCAGCTCCCCGTTTTTCCCCCTCCCTCCCATCAACCTTTGATGTTTGACGCCCTCCCTCACAAACCCTTGATGAGTTATAGATTATTTTTCCCATATCTTACATTGCCATGATCACCTTTTTGAGGAACTGCCAGACTTTCCCACTGTTGCGGGGCCATTTTCCATGCCTGCCAGCAGGAGATGGGGTTCCAGTGCCTTCACAGTTTCACCTGTACTTGTTGTTATTTGTCATGATTGCTATTCTAATGGGAATCAGGTCATATCTCATTGTAGTTTTGATGGAATTGTCTTTTAATCTCTTTTTTGGGTTCTTTGTTAGCATAGAGAAATATAGCTGGTTTTTGCGTGGTGATCTTGTAACTAGTGACCTTGCTGATGTCAGCTATTCTAGCAGAGTGGGGCTTTTTATGTAAATATGTGGTGGATTCTTTAGGATTTTGTACTTACAGGATCATGTAATCTGTGAAAATAAATATTTCTTTCTCTCCACTCTAGGTGTACTCCTCTTTAGCAAAGGCCATTTATGAAAAACCTGTCATTGTCATCATACTTTGATGTTTGACTCCAGCCTTCCCAACCTAATTCTTTTAATTTGCTATCACTCATTTTTTATTTGTATTTGCGTATGGCCTTCTTCTTGTCTTATATGTTATATATAGATGTCTTAGGAATCTGAACTCTTAGGACAGTTCTTTGGATCCGTATTAGTTTTGTTTTTTCTCCACAGCTGCCTTCTTTGCAGTTGCATGAACAGAACTGAGAGAAGTTGAGAGTCCTTGACCCTGTGAGGGAGCTCAGGTCAGGGAAAGACTTGCTAGCACAGGATGGAGCACTTCTGTGTTCCTTTTCACCCGGGGTGTTCATGGTGAATTCTTGACTGTGGTACCAGTAAGAGTTTGACCAGTGTTTATGTTATGCTTAAATCTTGTTCCATAGCACATAACATTTACATGTATAGTACTTTTTATTCAAAGATTATGTTCGTGTAGTGTTTCCAGATTTTTGTTTAGAATAATTTCATTGATACTGGTATGGTTAAATCTTTCAGGCTGCTTAAACAAGCTTTGATAAATTTTAAATCAGTAACTTCAAGCCTATTTATGGTGCTTGCTTTAAAAATATGTATATACACCGCCTGGAAGGACAATGAGATGTCGAGAAACAATACAGTTGCTTTTTCACCTGAATTTCCTGATATCGTTCATTGGAATATTTCTCGCTTTGATTTTTTCACAGATGTTCAGCCTGTTGCCTACGAAGAGCCCAAACATTGGTGTTCAATTGTCTACTATGAGTTAAACAATCGTGTTGGCGAAGCTTTTCATGCATCTTCTACTAGTGTATTAGTGGATGGATTCACAGATCCTTCAAATAACAAAAGTCGATTCTGCTTGGGATTATTGTCAAATGTTAACCGTAATTCTACAATTGAAAACACTAGGAGACATATTGGAAAAGGTAATCTTGAGGTTCCTTACATTCAGTTGAGTTCATTTATTGTGCTTGCTCTGCACCGTGCATCTTGTAAGACAGCAGGAGCGTGCAGAGACTCCTAAGGCATGCTCTGCCCTCAAGTGACAGGTGTGCAGGAAGTAGTGATCAGGTCGTCTCTCCCCTTTCCTTATCCTGCTTCGTTTTCTCCTAGTGCGGAGGAGGAGACCGGAAGCCAGAGACATAGTCTTTGTCCACTGTTGACTGTCACTCACACAGGGATATAAGCTTTTGTAAGAGTAGGAATGTGCCTTTCTGGCTGCTATGTGCTCACAACTAGAAAAGAGCATACCTCATAAGTACATAAGTATCTAGAGCGTTTGTCAGTCAGAATTGACTGATGGCATGAAACAACAGTATCATTTGTCGAATGAAAACATACTAATGAAGGATTTGAGTTGTCAAATTAGAGCATTTGTGGAGTGGTTTGGGTTGGAATGACTTGTAAGAATTTCCAAAATGTTGGGTGAGCAGAGTTACAGCTAGGAAATCTAGTTTGAAGAGACTGTAAGGCTCCAGTAGCTTTGTTGCTACTCTCCATTCCTTGTACGTTCAGATAAGAAAATGCTATTTATAAGTGAAAAAGACTCACGCATTAAGTGGTCAGGAAGGAAAATAATCCCAAATTGAGTGTTGTAATTGTCTTTGAAGAAGTTTTGTTTTTATCACATGCTGTGTTTTGCTTTTTTGACTTGCGGTTCAGCTTAGGAACAAAAGGTTAAGTAGCTGTAATTGTAGTAGGGTCGTGTTTTTTTTTTTATAGAAGAGATAAAGGAAAACATTTTGACTCCAAATTAGTTGAAAACAAAGGTTCCATTATTTTACTTTACTGCCAACTTGCTAACTTACTTTTTTTAAAAGATAGAATGCCTCACTTTTGTGTATTGATTACACACACACACACACACACACACACACGCGCGCCGCGCGCGCGCACACACAATTTAAAATATCCAGTTCTCAAACCCTTCTTTCCACAAATTTTTATTTGCCCATAAGTAAAGCAGCTTGTAATGCCACAATCTTATGCACGTCTGTGCTTCTCCGGTGTACAGAGGTGTAAGGAAGTCCTTGTAGCACTGACTGTAGTAGTAAAACACAGGGAACATTCTAAGTGTCTGTTGGGAGATACTTAAATAAATTATGTTACACTCTTAACTAGAATTATACTCAATACTTAGAACATGTATAAAAGAAAGCTTCAAAAAGCTCATGGAAAGGGGTAATTAAAAGATAATGGAACTTTTTTCCGTAGCTTTTGAAGCTCCCTAATATAGTAATACATCCTAATATCAGATATTTACATTATGAATCGTAATGTATATATATGTATATTTTAAAGTGGAAGCTCAGATTAATAGTGTATCATTCCATGCCTCTCCCATATACACAGGCATATAAAAACGTTCTATAGGAGTATACATACATACATATATACACGCACACACATAACCTAAATGCACGTTTAAAATCTTAAAATGGTACACACCAAACCGGTAGATAGCACTTGTTAGCTCTGAGAAGAATGTTAGCTCTGAGAGAGAACAGGCAATTTGAGGAGACAGGAGCATGGATATGTTGGGAAAACACTTGGTGACTTTATCTTTAGCAATATACTTTGAGTTTTAATATTGAGATTATAGTTGCATAACATATTTAAAAATTTTAAGAAATGTTAATGAAAATAAAATAAACCTGCCATACAAAGACTATTTATGTGACCTGAAACAACCTATGTTATATGTAGGGCTTTTAAAATTCTTATAAACTTTTGTAACTGCTAAACAAATATTTATATCAGTTGCCATTGATTCGATAAGTTTGGTTTTGAATTACTGACACCAGATGTTCCTGTGATAGGCCTTTTTACAAAGGCTACTCTTTTGTTTTTGTCGGATGCTGCTTCCTTTCATAGGGATGACAAATAATTGTTAGACTAGGAGGAAAAAAGATCTGAAATTTCACCACGTGATGTGCTGCCAAGGCGTGGTTCACTTTTATGCAGATATTAACCTTGTTTATAGTTGTCCCTGAAGGCCATCTAGTGGTGGCTTTTATCTAAAGATTGGTGTGGGTGTGCCTGTGGATTGGTGAATTGTCTCCGTTGCTTCTCATGTGCTTTATTAAACTGAATCTCCTTATGCCTGCCTTTTTTAAGGTGTTCATCTGTACTATGTTGGTGGGGAGGTGTATGCAGAATGCCTCAGTGACAGCAGCATATTTGTACAGAGTAGGAACTGTAACTTTCATCATGGATTTCATCCCACTACTGTCTGTAAGATTCCCAGCAGCTGCAGTCTCAAAATTTTTAACAACCAGGAATTTGCCCAGCTTCTGGCTCAGTCTGTCAACCATGGGTTTGAGGCCGTCTATGAGCTCACCAAAATGTGTACCATCCGAATGAGTTTTGTCAAGGTGAGTAGATTATGATCTATAACTTCATCTGTGCCACTGTGTCTATTTCTGTATGTTATAATGAAAAAGAAATTCTTTGCTAAATGAATGATGATAATCGCTTTTGACCCAATTTAATATTTTAATGAAGTTCTTGATTTTGTAACCAGCCACATGATAGTTCTCAGATGTCATTTATAGTCCACATACTATAAAATGTGTGTTATTAATATTGACTATTCAGTGAGGCTGAGGAGTTTGGACAAAAGATGAAATTGCTAGAAAACATTTAATATGTGAATTGTATTTTGAATTCCTTAGCCTCAACTGTTTCAGTTGCTATTAGATTCCATTAAAGTAAGTGAAAGAATTTTTTTTAACACCAGAATGATTTTACTTGTGTCTAAGCTGCTTTATTCAGGGTTTGCGAAGTTGAAAGAAACCTTCAAAGCCATCCTTTCATTTGTTTTTGCTTCTTTGGCTTGGTTATTCCAAAGATGATGGCTCATGAACGGACTTGGGATAGAATTTTGGTGCTGTCTTTAGGCACCTCTCGAAAGGAGTGCTGGTGGTGCAGTGGGCTATGCCTTGGGCTGTTCGCCTGAACAAATTTGAGCTCGTTCAGTTAGTTCAAAATGACTTGGAAGAAAGATGGGGCTTTCTGCTCCTGTGAAGACTGCAGTCTGGAAGCCCACCAGGGTAGTCCTGGTCTGTCTCCCAGGGAGGCGCTGAGTCAGAACTGACTTGATGGCAGAGAGGTCTTTTGGTTCACATTGTATCCACATGGTCCTTAAGAAGTTAACCAAAGAAGAGCAACTATCAGATGCAGTGATATCCCTTTTCCTCATATTTCTTGTCACGTGTCCTCTTCTGAATCCAGTTTGAGCCTCTAGTAGCTCCCTGTCAATATACTGCTACAGTCATTGTTAGATGATCTTAAACACACTTTTATGTACATATGTTAAAGATAATATTGTTGTATAATTTGAGCATTCTGTTGCATCACCTGTCTTTGGAAAGGGTACAAATGTGGATCTCTTCCAGTCAATTGGCCAGATAGCTGTTTTCCAAATTTCCTGGCATAAATAAGTACTTCCAGTGGTTCCATCAGCCTGTCGAAGCATTTCCATTGGTACTCCATCAATTCCTGGAACCTTGTTATTGGCTACTGCTTTCACTACATCTTAAAATTCTTCCTTCAGTACCATTGGCACATGGAATATTCTTCTAAAATAACTGCCTCATGGAGCTGATGCCGGGGCTTAGGTGGAGAGCAGATGTTTTGAGAATGAGGGCAATGAATGTACAAATGTGCTTGACACAATTGATGTGTGTATGGATTGTGATAAGAGTTGTATGAGCCCCTAATAAAATGATTAAAAAAAATAACATTGAGAGGGGAAAAAAATAAAATAAAAGAATTTTAAAAAATAAAAATAACCCCTTTAATCATGAAAACAACAACAAAATAAAATAACTGCATCCTGTGGATGGTGCTGGAGGAGAAAAATTAAATAAATACCTCCTAAAATGGAATGTCGACTAGTTCTTTTTGGTGTAGTAACTCTGTGCATTCTTTACATCTTCTTTCGATGCTTCTTGAATCATTCAATATTTTGCCCATAGAATCTTTCATTATTGCAACTTGAGACTTGGATTTTTCTTTTTTTCTCTTGAGTTCCTGCAGTTTAACATATGCTGAGCATGGTCTTCCTTTTTGTTTCCTAACGCTAGGTCTTTGCACATCTATTTATACTTTACTTTGTCATCCAGAACTTCTCTTTACATTTTCTGTTCTACTCTTTGACTTCATTTTTTAAAATATTTCCCTTACTCTATAATTAAAAGCAAGTTTCAGAGTCTCTTTGGAGATCCACTTTGATCTTTCTTTCTTTTTAATGACTTGCTTTCTTCATCAGTGATGTTCTTGATGTCCTCCTACAGCTCATTAGATCTTCTTTCATTAATGTTCAAGGCGTCAAATTTGTTCTTGAGATGTTCTCAGAATTCAGATGGGATAGACTCAAGGTTGTCTTTTGGCACTTGTGGGCTTGTTAATATTTTTTTTCAGCTTTAACCTGAACTTATGTATGAGCGATTGGTGGTCTGTTCCACAGTCATCCATTGGCCTAGTTTTAGACGCTCATATTGAACATCTCCATTGTCTTTTCCCACAAATTAATCAATTTGGCTTCTATGTATTTCATTTGGAGAAGCCCATGTATGCAGGTGCTGTTTGTGTTGTTGACAAAAGGTATTTATCATGAACAAGTTTTTGTTCTTACATAATTGAATTATATGATTTTTCACGTTCATATTTAACACCAAGACCATGTTTGCCAATTACTAATCCTTCCTCTGTCTCCAATTTTTACATTCCATTTGCCAGTAGTTATTAATACATTTTGATTGCATGTTTGATCAGTTTAGACTGAAGGGGTTGGTGAACTTCTTGAATTTCTTTATCACTAGTTTTAGTGTCTGGTGCATAAATTTGAGTAATAGTTGTATTGATCAGATTTCCTTCAATAAGGATAGATAATACTTTTATCACCGTATTTTACTTTTTAAGTTAGATAATGAAGTGGCTTTTGAGGAATGCAACCCCATTCCTCTTGACTATGGTTCCTGGCAGAGTGAACTATGATGTTCTAATTCGACGTGGCCAATACAAGTCCATTTCAGCTCACTCACTCATGCCTTGCATACCAGTCTGTCTGTGTTCAGCTTCATTTTTACAACTTCGAATTTTTCTATATTTCCATAGTTCATACATTCCAAGTTCTAATTATTAGAATTTTTGCAGCTTTTTTGTCTCACTTTCAGTGGTGCCCCATCAGCAAAGGGAGGTCCCAAAGACTTTACTCCATCTTCATCATTATGGTCGATTCTGTTTATAGAAGACAGCTCTTAGTCATAGTTTGAGTGCCTTATAGCCTGAGGGGCTCACCTGTGGCGCTATCCCTGATCACGTTCTGCTTCTGTTCTGGAGGTTTTCTGTGGTGGACCCTGTTTTGATGCTGTCCCGAAGGTTAATTCCTCTGAAGTGGACCGCCTATCCCTTCCTTCACAGTCTCTTCTTAGTGTTTGAACTTCCATGAAGCTCTTTATTGATTTTAATTAGTCAACAAGAATTCTGAAACCAGTTTGGCCCCAATGGTTTCTCTTCAAGAGATTAAGCATTACTTAAAAAAATAAAGCAAAACGAACAACATCTCTGAATAATGTAGGGATTGCATTGCTTTTACTTCTAAGATGAATTCTAAGATTAGTTTGTGGTAGTTATTTGCATTAAATACATTCTGTGCGTAAGATATCTTCAAAGAGTTGGGTGAAAAATGGAATTAAAGATAGTGGAATGTTTCCATGTACTTTTTAAATCCCCTTCACATTTCTAGTATTAAGTTCAGTTCTTTTGCTGTTATGGTAAAATCTATGTAGACTGCTTGACAGTTTGAAGAGAGGTTTGCTGTAACATTTTTTTCCTTTTGTAGGGCTGGGGAGCAGAATATCACCGGCAGGATGTTACCAGCACCCCGTGTTGGATTGAGATTCATCTTCATGGGCCTCTTCAGTGGTTGGATAAAGTCCTTACTCAGATGGGCTCCCCTCTAAACCCCATATCTTCAGTTTCATAGTGCAGAAATATTCTCTTTAATCGTATGATTAGTGGACTTGTTTAATCTTAGAGAAACTTTCAGAACTGTGAGCTTACATGGAAAACATATTACAGTATACTTTTTTCCTATGTAATTGTGACCAATACCTTTGTATTTTGTGATCTACATTGGTTTGTATTCATAGTCATGTGATTGGCTTTCAAAAGTGTTATGAAAAAATGCAAAGTAAGTATCATATCCCAACTCAGAAGTTTGACATTGGTCTTAAACTGGAATGTTTTTACCTTTTTGACCCATACATTTTTTTAATGTGTTAAATTTTTTTCAAGGTAATAATATGTCACATGGCGAAAAATCATAATAGTATACAAAGCTATCCAGTGAAAAGTAAGTCTTCCCTCCTACTTTTTATCCTCCAGAAGCTATATTTTTATCCTCCAGAAGCTATATTTTTAGTAGCTTCTCTGTACCACCAACTTTGAAAAAGTCTCATTTATTGTTGGACACTAAGCACACTAGGGAGTGTGGTGTTCAGCACAGCAGTGGGTTAACTTTAAACACAGTTCCATGTTTCTCAGTGGAAAGAGAGTTCACTCAGTATAGCCTTTGTAAAACATTTCCCTTTTTTACAAAAAACAAACAAACCCCCCCCCCCCCCCAGAAAATTGTTGCAAACAACTGAGCTCTCGTATATGTCATTTACTCAGATTCTGCCCGAAATACTATTTTAGAGCTAGTGACAGTGCATGCACAGCCTTATTCAGCTACAGTGGCTGCTTCGGGCCCATGTTGCAGGAACTCTTTAATTTTGATATGTATTCATCTTTTCTTTTGCACTTTTATGGGTTACAGTTTTTAGCATAACCTTTGGTGAAACACACTCAAGTGACTTGGATGTCGATGCTTGTCCTTAACTCCTTGATATCCCTTTTGTATTACGAAACACTGCCATTTGTAGAGGATATTTGTAGGAAATTAGGCTTTTTCTAGCTTTTGCTTTTTGTTTTTGTGATTTTAATTTTCAACCTAGATTATATGACTGTTATTCTGTAGCTCCAACTTAAGGTGCCTTTGTTTTATGGATGCTGTTGATGTTGAGGAACATGTGTTTAACCTCACTGCCCTGCCTGCCATCAGCCTACCGTGGAAGGACACGCACAGCAGCCAGAGGAGGCTCTTCAGTGGGCCTCCAAGGATCAGGCTTCGGACCTGATACGTCCGTGAATCAGCAGTGGTAGTTGGCTTAGCTGATTTTCAAACATCCATCTATCAAAGACTGCATACAGTTCTCGCGGTGGTCACGCCTACTTATCTTTCTCAGTTGTTAGCACCTGTGCGGACGTTAGTCTCTCAGAACACCATCCTGGAGAGGACAGACATGAAAACGGCATTTGATCACGCATTCTGAAAGGCTTTGGATAAAGGACTCTTAACCACTTTTTCTAGGAACAGTTTAAAATGGACATGTATTTAAGGCATGAGCATGAAGACAGTATTTTGAGAAAATGAACTGGTTTCCCTATCCAAAGAAGCTTTGTTTTTTGATGCCTTTTGAAAGTACATGGAGCCATGCCAATCTTCTGTTTCTAAATGTTAGTCGGCTTAGACTATTTTTTGCCCTTTTTTTTATGAGAAGAAAAGTACCTTTTTGAGGATAGGAGAATGTGATAACCTTTTGTTTTCTGTGGCATTATTTATTGATTTTACACAGCACAGCCAGTGGATGGCGCTCTTTCCAATGAAGTGCCATACGTGTTTCAGTTGACAGTCCTTTAAACGGGATGCTTGCTACCGTTATTCACCTGAAACATAGCTGTTAGCATGCTGCTGCCTTCTCAGTCTTCCAGAGTTGTGTTGGCCCCTGCAAGATGAGTATTTCCTTAGTGATGGCTGTTTTCATGATTTTACTTACCAGGCCCATGCCAAACTCTTTGGGAAGAAAGATACATGTTACCAGCTCCACTGGGCACAAAGTGGTGGAAATTGTTCAGTTGCTTTTATTGATGTCTTTGAGTTCATTAGAAATGAATTCTGTTTGGAGTCATTATTCAGGTCACAGTCTATAGAGTAAGCAAGACATTGAGTGATTGCCTTTTTCTTTGTTTTCACTAAGGAATTGTGAATGGGAGTATTGATGCTATTGACACTTAAATGTTTCCTGAAGATGTATAAACCTGTTGTATTTTCTAAAAGAAAGACATAGAACTCCACACTGCTACATTTTAAATAAACACTTATTCAACTTAGCTGCGCATATAATCACTGAGAATGCCCGCATAACCATGGGTGGGAAATAAAACGTGTCAGGGATTTTTTAAAAAGCGAAATACTGACCAACAGCAAAAAGAAGTACCTCTGAAACCATTTCAGAAAATGTGTTACTAAGTTTTTATTTAATCTACAGAATGGTTTATGGTTTACAGTCAAATTTATGAGGACTTTGGCCTCCTTACACAGCATGTACAAAATAATGTGTGTTAACGGAAAAGACAGTTTGGAAATCATACAATTGCAGCCAGTTTGGTAAGTGTAAAAAAGGAAAATAGAATCAAAATGTATCTCAGTAATGAAATAAAGGGACAGCAAAATGATTGGACAAAAGCATGTTTCAAGCTGTAGATGGGACTAAGATCTCTACAATACTGTATTATAGTCTAGTTCATATTGCCTGGCCGAAGTTCTGGAATGTAAAATAGTGGACATGGTGTTGAGCTGCAGGAACTAAGAATATATTTTAGAGAAAATTTAAGGAAGACATTGATTTTTAAAATGCCAACTATATGCACCAGAATATAAATACATTTTCAGTTCTTTATGCATTTCATTATTACTGTTTAAGAAAACTATGATAGTAAAATTGGCTGGGTTTCTGTGGTAAAGTCCAGATTATAGATAGGTAAACCTATAAGCCAAATATTTCAGAGCAAGACATCTTTTAGGATGTACAATTATGACTGTGAAATATATTGTCCAGATCAGAGCTACGACTAACATGACTTGTATACAGTTGAGTCCACACTCACCGGGGCTACCATATTCTCCAGGTCTCACAGGTTTCCTGTCTTGACAAGAGAACAGTCTTCCCACTCTTCTTTGCTCTTTCGCAGTGGGAAATGTGTGCATTTTCCTTCTCTGAAGACTTTCCACCTTCCACAGGTCCCACTTTTGGTTTGACTGAAAAATTGTTTATGTATCACCTAGGGTGCCTGCGGTAAGCAGTTCCCCTGTCATGTGTTCTGGTGGAAGAGTGAAGTAAAAAGGAAGAAATCCTATCAATAGCAAATAATTCTGAAAACTTTGAAAGGCCTATTAAAGTGCTGCACTTCTATAATATAGAACTTTTATATCAGTTTAGGGCCCTTTATACTTTTTCTAATCATTTACTTAATAGGACTTTCAATCATCGGCACCTTTTCCATTGAAAATTTATTGTACATATCTCTTGTACTTCCTTAGGAAGGAAGAATCTTTGGGTAAATTTTGTATTCACCCTCAATGGTGACTTACATTGTGGACATGATAACTTTTACGAGGGTCAGAACCGTCCTTTGCCTTACTAAAGCCTCACTTTCTCCAGTAGGCTTGTGGGTCCTCATTAGACCAATGAGCTCATAAATAAAACAAGGCTTTTTGGTTTTGTTTCTTAAGATAATAGCCTGGTAATTTTAGATGGCTTTGGTCCTTTTTCATGGGCGGGGGCCGTTTCTCCGAGTGGTGTTTCATAGGTGATCTCAGATATTAACTGGGGCACTCACTCTGGGCGGGTACCCTTAGGGTCCATGTCTCATTATTTCAGAACAGCAGCATTTTTTCTTGGGAGGTTTTTCTTCTCGTAAAGGATACATGTGTGGAAAGTTAGAATCTAAGGCATTTCTTCTATATAAGCAAAGACTTCTACCTCCTGGACAGAAACTTGGGATAATTCTTGGAGTTTACTCAATTGCACTACAGCACATCCTAATTGTAGGAGGTTAGTGTTTATAAAGTCTCTATCATTCATTGTAGAGATTATCTCCTAAAATATGAAGGGACTTCAAGATGTTTTATGGGGGGAAAATCCATTGTCTTTTAATTCAATTTTCCATCAAGTTTTTGAGTCTGGCACCACCTTAGACCACTGGGCCATCCTGACACATACCATCAGTTTTTGAAGCCCCCTTGCATAAGTTACTGCCATGAGACTCTTAAACTGGATGTTTTGTCAGAACTAATGGAGGGGGTTTCATACATCAGCAATTTCAAATGTTTTAAAATTTTAGTAAGATCTCACAATACGTTCTAGTAGTGGCTGATGTGAGATAAGTGGCGAATTGTTGAGATGACCCAATCCTCTCACCCAAATTATAGCACAGAGTGAAAAAAGATCTGGTCCTAGACGAGAATGCGGATGTCGTTCGTGGCAGTGGCAGGTGTGTGTAGTTCGTGTTCAGAGATTGCAGTACTTAAACTTCTTCCAGTAATCATCAACCATTGTTCTTTAAGGACTTATTGGAAGGTGCTGTTCAAAAGAGTTCAAGTAACAGGTAAGAGATCCGTAGCAACAGTAGCGTGGGTATGGAAAGACTTTCTTCCTTTAATGGGCAGTGATTTCTTCCTGCTAGCTGGGATTAGTGCCGGGGGGCGAAAGAATGCTAGGTTCCTTGCCAAGAACGAAATCTTTCAGGGTCAACTTTTCTGTCTCATCATTGGAGATGAAGTTACTTTGATTTATTCATGAAAAGTCTTTGATGATGACTTTTAACTGTAGCAACTCTTGAAGATAATGGCTGGGCAAGTGAATTTAATTTTTACATGTTTGGTTAAATTGCATTTTGAAATTCACTTATATTAAAATTGGATTTGTAATCACAAATACTGGATGTTTGTACATGCCTGCTCATGTTCTCAGATACTTCCTATGCAGATGGTAAAGACCAAACCAATCAATGGCTGCACTGTAGGTCTGTTTCGCATTTGTACTTGTTCTGCTTCTGTTGATGTTGTAGGAAATGAAATTATAGCAGCGTGCTTCAATTCCAATATTTTTTGATACTTATTAAAAAATGTTATTAGTTTCACTATATTGGGCTTTTCAAAGCCATAACTCTTAAAACATTTTGTTTTTGCATATTGTTTGCTAATACTTTATTTTAATAAACCTCAAAACCTGATTAACACGTCTTTTGTTTTTGTACTCTCTTTTGACTAAACCTGTTTCCCTGAGTGGAATTTACCCTACTATCAGTTACTGTGTAGGACTTGCTGTGCCATCCGTTTGTGGACTGGTTGTAGAAAAGGAACAAACCACGCCTTTCCACTCGGCATAGATTTTGCTCAGAGTGATCAATCTTTTTCTTCTCTGCTTCTGAGGGAGTTGATGTGGTTTTTCGTCTTTAAAAATGGTTTCACTTTTGAAAAGTAATTTGGGCTTAGAGTCTGGGTGGTTTTGAATTTAACCTGACGTTTCCTTCGCTGTGTCTCAGTATCTTGTCATTGAGAGGAGTTTGGCTGATGTTGAGCAGGCTGGGGGAACTGGCTCTGGGGCCGGCCTGCCTGCATTAGAGGACTGGCCCGACCTCAGCGGTTCCTTCACTCTTCGAGCTTAGGCAAGTGGCTTAACCATTCTGTGCCTCAGTTGCGTGATCTGTAAAGTAAAAGTCTACTTCGTGGGATTGTGGGAAGATTAAATAAAGTAATACAAATAAAGTATGAAGAATCATGCCTGGCATATAAAATTCACATGCAACTTGTTATTTCTTACGTTTTTTCTGATTTCTTTGACACAGCATTTCTGATACGGCTTGATCTTGATACATTAACCTTTGATTATCTGTTTCTTTGAATTAGCTTTGTTTTTCTTTCTTTTACTTTCTGTGAAATAACAGGCTAGCTGTATCATTACCGCACTCTGTGTTGCATGTACAGGGAATACAAGCTCATTCTAATTCAGGGGGAGTGGTGACTGTGTTTGCCCCGCTGGAAAAAGTAGAAAACAAAAATGAGAGATGTTAACCTAAAAGAATAAATATGAAAGCTTCTCTCAAAGGAAAAGAATCCAACTGAGCACATCAGTTCCTTGAGGTGCCTTTGATTTCAAGCCAGGCATTCAGCGAGGGGGTTTACAGCAGATTGACTGGCTGTATTAGGTCGTTTGGGGGGTTTTGTTGTTGTTTTAGAAAGGTAGTTTTAAGAAACTCAAATGAGTTGTCCTAGCAAAGGATTTCAGTGAGCAGTATGAGGTGGCTGCAGTTTTAGATAGTTTTCAAATTGCTGTCACTGAAATCAGTCAAGTGGTGAGGAGGGGGTCAGCTGTGACGTGTGCGTCAGTTTCCTTTAGACATGAGTCGCAGTGGCTAATGCAAGTTCATTTTAATACAGTTCGTATCTTGTAGATAGCAGAAGGCTGTCAGCAGGCGGAGGCAGTACTTAGAACAAATTGCTCATTTAGAGCTTTGTAGTATATATGAAGGGGTTTCAAAAATGTGTGGGAAGATATCCTCTTACCTTTTAATTCTGTTTTTTCCACACGCATTTTGAAGCCCCCTCATATATGCCGTTCATAAGTGTCCTTTGCAGTTAGGTGCTGAACTGCTAACTGCAGGAGCAGTTTGACCCCACCCAGAGGCACCTGAGAAGAAAGCTTCGGCAGTCTTTCAAAAGCCTTGACAACACTGGATGGAACACACTTCTGTTCTCAGAATCTGCTCCAGGCAACTGGTGGTATAGCTAGAACTCAAAGAAGGATGCTGGAGGGAGCCAACCAAGCAAACAGCCTTTGCCCCATGTAACGTTTGAATATAACTTGGCTTTTGTTGCGTTTGTGTGCCTTTCCTTAATAAACTGAAATTATAAAAAAGAAATTGTGTTCTTTAGTGTTCACCCTTTTTCCCCCCTCAAGAAAGGGGAGTGCTAGGCCATAGAGAACATTTAAAGATTGCTTAGGTTGCTTAAACCTCCCCATCTTACTTACTGAAGTATATATTGTGTGGGGGGGGGCTCAGAGCTATAGGTTAAGACTTATCCATATTGTATTAAATGGGTCTGTGTTCTAGTGAGGAGTGTTTTGTGGGGTTACTTTGATGTTTCGTGGGTAGATTTTTAAATGTTTCTATTTTCTGTGAATCTCTTAAGCACATTTTTGCATCTAATAATTATCTCCCACATGTCATTTTGAATAATACGTTTGCCTGAGATAATGCTGAGGATTTTAACAGTAGGAAAAATACAAACTTCAAAGAAAACCCCCAAACCCAGTAGCTAGCCAATACCTGTTTGTGTGCGCCCTCTTCCAGTCTGTTCTGCTGGTCGGTCCCAGTTCTGTCCTTCCTTTGACGAGAACTGAACTGGGAGTGGGTGGAACCTGTAGCTGCTTTTTTGGAATGAGGTCTCAACAAGACAGGTTTGGTTTCCAAATGCTGTTTGAATTCCGTACACTCAGGATATTGTCTTCTTTGACTAGCTCTTAATTTTTTAAACACGAGGCCTTTCTAAAATGTATAACATCAAGCTCACCTCTCTGTATCTTTTAAGATTACTAAGCATATTTGAAATTTCTGAAGAAATAAGAAAAATTCAGTTGCAGTTAACTTGGTTAAACTTTAAAAAGGAGGGTAA